TATATATATATATATATATATATATATATATATATGTGTGTGTGTGTGTGTGTGTGTGTGTGTGTGTGTGTGTGTTTGTACACAATCTTCAGATTTATGCTGAATGATTTTAAGAGTAGATAAAAAAATAAAAAAAATAAAACAAAAATGTACATTTAAAAAAAATGTGCATTTTTACAATGCAAATCTACTTAGATAAACTTGTTTGGTGAACAAAGCAAGTCTCTCATAGGGCTGGGCGATATGGCAAAAACATAATCTCAATAATTATTTTCCATATTAAACAATAACAATATATATATTGATATAAGTTGTTAATGCTTCCAGATTTAAAAGAGTACCCCCAACAATCACTGAAGCCATAAATTTAGAGAACGGCATTACATATTTTTGGCCGATACATTTTCGGTGGCCAAAAGTTCTGTACATCTTTAATGTCAACACATTTTTAGATTCACATTGTTGCACATTTTTGCTGTGTGATTGGCTCTTAGATTAATACAGAGTAAAAAAAGTCTAGATATTATCAAAGATTATATTGTTAAAGTCTAGTTTGAATTTTTTTTAAATCTTTTTAAAAGATTTCTCAAATGGTGTTTAACAGAGCAAGGAAATTTTCACAGTATGTCTGTTAATATTTTTTATATATAAGTCTTATTTGTTTTATTTTGGCTAGAATAAAAGAGTTTTACATTTTTTAAACACCATTTTAATGTCAAAATTATTAGCCTAATATAATAATAATAATAATAATAATAATAATAATAATAATAATAATAATAATAATAATAATAATAATAATGAATTATTATATATATATATATATATATATATATATATATATATATATATATATATCAATAATTAAGATTCAATAATTCAATAATATAAAAATGAAGTAATAAATTGATACATTTATTTTATTTTTATTTTATTTAAACAAAAAAATTATAAAAAACATTAAATAATTTAAAAAATTGTATAATTAAATTTATATTATATTATATATTATATAGGCGAAGCAGTGGCGCAGTAAGTAGTGCTGTCGCCTCACAGCAAGAAGGTCGCTGGGTAGCTGGTTCGAGCCTCGGCTAAGTTGGCGTTTCTGTGTGGAGTTTGCATGTTCTCCCTGCATTCCCGTGGGTTTCCTCCGGATGCTCCGGTTTTCCCCACAGTCCAAAGACATGCGGTACAGGTGAATTGGGTAGGCTAAATTTTTCATAGTGAATGTGTGTGTGAATGAGTGTGTGTGGATGTTTCCCAGAGATGGGTTGCGGCTGGAAGGGCATCCGCTGCATAAAAAACTTGCTGGATAAGTTGGCGGTTCATTCCGCTGTAGCAACCCTAGATTAATAAAGGGACTAAGCCGACAAGAAAATGAATGAATGAATGAATATAAATTATAATATAACATAATATTATTAACAGTGTTAATATAATCACGAAACTAATATAAACACTAAGAATTAATAAAAAAAATAATAATTGGTGTTAAAGTGTTACCAATCATCTTTAATACTTTTACACAAAACTATTTTTTTACTTTTGCAAAACAATAATAAAATTCAGCTACATTCAGCTTTGAAATTCTAGGATTGCATCCACCAAATTTAGCAAAAGCAATGAATAATGCAAATTAAAATTGAATTAGATCCACTTATTTGGTAAACAAAGAAAATCTCTCATTTAATATATCTGCTAAAAGACAGAAAATATGACTTTACAACCTGTATTGTATATAAAATATATGAACATGTATTATATAAATAAATTATATTACTATATTTATTATAGTATATAAATTATATTACTGAGATGCATCTAAAACCTGAATAAATATTAATGTACACACATTCACAGAAGTAAACAAATAGATTTCTTGCAGACTCTAATAAGCCACTAGTTAACACTGGTACTTAGATTAAAGTGTTACCAATCATCTTGACTACTTTTACACTAGCTGTACCACTCAAAGTGTATCATTGCAATGACCAAATTTAACAAAATCCATTAGTAAATATTGTATTTGTGCATTGTCTTGTATTTGAAATTTTATTGGTGGTCATAAATATGATGTGCGGTGTGCTTTTGCTCTGCTGGCTGTGTAGTCTCTGTATAGGATATCTGCTGGTGAGATATCGAGCCGCTATCGCTCTCTGCGGTTTGATGTGGAAACGGTTCCAGCGAGTTTCACAGTCATTAGTGCGTGAAATAAAAAGGCCTAGATGAAGGATAAAGCCGATTTCTTTATCATTATCTGGGTGACGGCTGTGCTCCAGCTGTGAGGCCGTGGGTGGCTCTCATCTCTGTTTATTCTGTCTCCTCCGCTGATGTTTTCATTCAGTTCTGCGTTGGCTTGTGTTATTTGTCGGCGGCCCTCCTGCGAAGCGTCCGAGAAGGGAGTGACACAGTTATGCGTTTTCACTCCTTCTTTTTTTTCTGTTTGTTTTTCTTTTTGGAGTTCAAGCAGAGTTCGAGCTCCGAGCGACGTGGACGTATCCCAGGCTGCTCTGCTCTCGTCTTTGGCCTTTTTTTTTTGGGTGAAAGTATGAAGGAAGTCAGCACAGGTCAAGATGACATGCTGTACGCCTTTAAACCAGCGTTGTGTTGGTGTAGTTCTTCTGAAGCCGTCTTCTAAAGTCTTACAAATTAGACAGCGTGTGTGTGTGTGTGTGTGTGTGTGTGTGTGTGTGCGCGTCTTTAGGGAATTATGTGTGACTGTAGTAGATTGAGTGTGTGTAGTGTGTTGTAGTGTATAGAGTATATGACTATTTAGCATACAGTGTATGTTAGTGTGTCGTATGTGTGTGCAGATTATTATGTGTGTAATGTATTGTGAATTTCAGAAGGGTATCGTATGTATATGTGTATGTGTTTGTGTAATGTATTGTGTGTGTGGCAGTAGTGTATTGTGATATTGTGTGTGTAGTGTGTTTTCTAAGCTCCTCCCTGCGTGCCTCTTCTTGACACCTGCCGGGGACGTGGCCTGGGGTCATGACCTGACCTTTTGACCCCTGCAGTGTTTTTACTAGGATATAACGGAGCAGCGGCTGAGGAGGGAAATATAAACACTCACAGATTCTTCTTTGGAGGAGAAAAAACTCTTTATTTTAGCCTGAGACATATCTCAGTCTGCCGTATATATATTCATGGCGCTCTTCACTACTTGCTTTCATTCCACTAATAGTTTCTTTCTTCTCTGAGGAATGTGTCTTTGTGAAGACTCCGAGTGTGTGTGTGTGTGTGTGTGTGTGTGTGTGTGTGTGTGTGTGTGTGTGTGTGTGTGTGTGTGTGTGTGTGTGTGTGTGTCTGTGTATGTGTGTGTGTGTAGCTGGATTTTTTTTGCGTGCTTATGCTGTCATTTTGTTTGCTCTGTGTTGTACAGTAAGTTAGAGACTCTGTTCAAACTCTGTGTAAAATGCTGGTAAACACACACAGCACATTTTATGTATGCAGAATATCACAATAATGTATATAAATAAATAAATTAAGGAGGGAATAAATAACTAACTAAATAAATATATAAATAAATAAATAAATAAAGGAGTGAATAAATAAATAAATTTATAAATAAAGGAGCGAATAAATGAATAAATGAATAAAAAAGGAGTAAATAAATGAATAAATAAAGGAGTGGATAAATAAATAAATAAATAAATAAATGAATAAATAAAGGAGTAAATAAATAAATAAATAAAAAGGAGTGTATAAATAAATAAATACATAAGGAGTGAATATTTAATTAATAAATAAACGAATAAAGGAGTGAATAAAAAATAAATAAATAAATAAATAAATAAATAAATTAATTAATTAATAAATAAATAAATAAATAAATAAATAAATAAATAAATAAATAAATAAATAAATAAATAAACAAATAAATAAATGGAGGGAATAAAAAATGAAAAATAAATAGAATAGAGTGAATAAATAAATAAATAAATAAATAAAGGCGTGAAAAAAAAAATAAACAAAAAGGACTGATTAAATAAATAAAGGAGGGAATAAAAAAATAAAAGAGGGGAAAAAAATAAATAGATAAATGAAGGAGTGAATAAATACTGGAGTGAATAAATAAATATTGAAGGAGGAAATAAATAAATAAATAAAGGAGTGAATAAATAAATAATTGAAGGAGGGAATAAATAAATAAATGAAAAAGGGAATAAATAAATAAATAAATAAATAAATAAATAAATAAATAAATAAATAAATAAATAAATAAATAAATAAATAAATAAATAAATAAATAAAGGAGGAAATAAATAAAGGAGGAAATAAATAAAGGAGGAAATAAAGGAGGGAATAAATAAATAAATAAATAATGTACACTTTATATATCATTTACTATGGTAAA